ATTGATCACTTATATTGCGATATTCACATACATACACATGAAATAAAATCCTACATCCTATGTATATCTAACTTAAATAGAAACCTATCTACTACTTATTATGTGAAATAATATTTTATCCAGCATAAATGCCACATCTAGTTTGTATTTCTTTGACTGTATCATATATTTTAACGCCGATTGGTCAAGCAACTACAAGGTTCATGAGCAAACAACTTGAGAACCAAAGTGAGCCTTTAGAGCAATTGAAGGATTCTTAAAAATGATTTACTTTAGCACTATTATATTTTAAAATATATTTATTTTCTACCATCATTGTTTATTGCTCAGTAGACTTTCCAATAGTAAATTATTATTGTCAACGAATAACTATCTCGTAACTTTTGTTTCATGAAGAATGATAAAGGATTTTGTCATTATAATGTTGTCTTTATAATGCAAAAATGTTCATATTCAGTGAGCAGATGAATTGCTTACAGCTCTGAAATCATGTGCGTATAAATAACTGCATTCTTATTAAAACATTATAGAAAAAACAAGCAATGTCATAAATGGATTTATTTAGAAAGGGACGAGTGAAAAGGCCAAATGAAAAGGCTGTTGCATCCCTTTTTCATAAAATTGAATTTGTATTCCTCTGGTTTAAACAGAAAAAATAAGGTTCGAATAGTCAGTACACGATACAGTATACTATCCATAGTAAGATCATTATACCGGACATTTTAGTGATCTGGTGTATCCAGTACAACCTGAAATAACCGAAAATAAATGTATTTATATTAGTTCCTATTTTTTTATACGAAGATACTTTTATATGCACCTTGATAACCATTGTCGGGCTGCTGACTTAAACTCTTGTTTCTGAATAAATTTCCTAATTCCCATCAGGTAAATTGCAACATACTTCTCCCAATTCATAGCCCGTAAATCTAGTTTGACCATATCGCCGTCGTTCAAAATTTTCACTTTTCTCACTAAGTCAGAACAATTATCCCTTTGGAAAGTCCATTCGTGCATGATTTTCTCACTAAGTCAGAACAGTTATCCCTTTGGAAAGTCCATTCGTGCATGATGAAATATGCTATCATTGTAAACAGCTTATTGCCATTTAGGAGAAGTTTCATCATTCTGAAATATCAGTTTTACTTTTATTATAGATGAAGACAGAGATTTCCCCATTTTTCTCGTAGCATGAGAATCGATAGAATACTCACATTGGTTTACTACCTCGGAGTCTTAAAAATATATCTATGACGAACGCAGGCAAAACATGCGGAATTATACTCCGAACCTGGTAAATATATCTATTAGCTATCATTGGACAACCCGGGTACCATAGCGTATCGTTCAGTGGCGTTTCTGTGCTACATTTCACAATGGCATCTCTCATCTGACCCCATCTTGCCAATTGAAACAATTACATTGTATTATTAATTAATTGAAATACGCTTAAAGTAAAGTTTATTGTTATCCGTGTATCTCAGCAAATATTATGCAATCTAAATAAGTATTACATTACATCACTATCTTCCTAAATTAACGTATTGAGATCAAAATCGGACTTTCGTATTCTACGTTTGTGTGCGCTTCCATTGTTCACCTTACTTAAATAAACTGAAACTTATGGAATACTCTAACAATCGAATTACATTACTAGAAAAAAATTCGTAATAAAAATTACTTAAAAGGGCATGCGTTACTCGTGCAGTTGTAAACTTTAACTTCATGATCTCTATGTAACGTGACATGCCATGCAGTACATATTATCATGTCGACTACGAAATCCACAGGCACTATATCCGATATTGCATCTCTCCTACCTCGTATCGCTGTTGCACATCCTCTGCCGATTAGCATAATGGTACCTGGTAACATTAAATTCGTTTAGAAATTATTTGTGAATTTTGATTACCAGAAATGTAGCGCTAAATAGATTGGTAAGAATTCTCGTAATTGTGAGCAACAACAAATTTGAACTATAATAATGATGATTAAGTGGAGAGCCTCTCATTTATCCTCTCACAAACAAATCGATTAACTCCACTTTTAGGAAATGTAAGGAGTATTGAAAAATTACTGTCGGAAAAGATCTATGAAAATACTTGTTAATGCAGAAATATTCTCTATCCAACCAGGACATGGTTCTTGCAAAGAGGCACCAACTATGCTTGGCCGTACTATCGCAACTGGCAGATCTTTGCACTTGCTTGCTACAATCTGCTCTGCTAAATTCTTACTGAATGTGTATGTGTTTGGATAAGTTTTTAAAATCTTTTTTTCTATTTCGATGATGGACGATTTGTCGAATTGGTCACATATATCGATCACCTCCGAAGGTTTCAAGCTCGTACTGCAAAGTCGATAATAAGTGAACGTATTATTTACGTTATAATTATGTATATAACATTCGTAGATCATGGAACAACGTTTACGTATAACTTATTCTTACGTATAAACTTTTTCCCCAATCTCATGTAGATTAGC